GGGATGTCGTGCTTGGCGAGAACCCTCCTGAGTTTGTCATCCCCTATGTAGCCGGTGTATCAGAGAATGTTGTTGCGTCTGTCTTTCTTATCCTCCCTCGCTGGTGTCTGATCTTCTTTTCTGTGCATCTTTGCTGACTTTATAAATGCCCAATTAGGATAACCGCATGTTTTAAGTGCTTCCTTTACATGTGTGTGTTCCTTCTTTTTCCCCTTCAGGTTTAGAGGGAATCTGAAATAAAAGACATATTTAGAGTTATTTATCAAATTTTAAGTAAGTAAGTAAGTAAGTAAAATTTATTTATATAGCGCTTTTCACAGATAAAAAAAAAAAAAAAATCACACAATGCTTTACAAACAGGAAATGGAAATATAAAACAATATAACAGTAAATAAAAGAGCAAATAAAACAATGTAAAACAATAAAACTATAAAAACAGGAAAATTAATCAAATGCTTTTCTAAATAAAAATATCTTCAGCTGTTTTTTTTAAAAGAATCAATGGAGTCCGTGCAGCGGAGAGACAGTGGAAGAGAATTCCACAACCGTGGTGCCACAGTCTGAAAGGCCCGATCACCACGAGTTTTAAAACGAGTGCGCGGTACCACGAGCAGTCTCTGATCTAATGACCTTAAAGCCCGAGAAGATGAATTTGGTTTCAGCAGGTCAGATAAATATTGAGGAGCTTGACCATGTAGGGCCCTAAAGGTTAGAACTAAAATTTTAAAATGAAGCCTAAAATTTACAGGCAACCAGTGAAGGGAGGCCAAGACTGGAGTGATATGCGATCTTGTCTTGGTGCCTGTTAAGAGTCGTGCTGCAGCATTCTGCACAGTCTGAAGACGATTTAAGGGTGATTTGTTAAAACAAGTAAACAGACCGTTACAGTAGTCTAAACGAGAAGAAATAAAAGCATGAATAATCATCTCAAGTTCAAGCTTTGACACCATTAGTCTGAGTTTAGAAATATTCCGTAAATGATAAAAACAGTTTTGGCCCAGCTGCTTAGAATGCTGCTCGAGCAACATCGAGCTGTCAAATATGACGCCGAGGTTTCTAAGGCTTGATTTTACATAAGGGTCTAAGAAGCTGATATGCTGCCTGATTTCTGGGACCATGTGGTCTGGAGCAATAATTAGAGTTTCTGTTTTATCAGAGTTTAGTTGGAGGAAATTGTCATATAACCATTTGTTGATTTCTGTCAGGCAATTACTTAAATTAGACAATTTATAAAACTCAGACATTTTGAAGGAATGGTATAGTTGGATGTCGTCAGCATAGAGATGATAGGAGATATATTTATAGCGCTTAATAATTTGGCCTAGGGGAAATACATAAAGTAAAAAGAGAATTGGACCCAGGACAGATCCCTGAGGTACCCCACACGGCAAAACTGTTGATTCTGATGTCACATGATTCATGCAAACAGTAAAAGATCTCTCAGACAAATATGACATAAACCATTTTAAAACATCACCAGTAATCCCAAACAAGTTCTCGAGTCTGTTTATCATGATACTGTGATCTACAGTGTCAAAAGCAGAGCTGAGATCCAACAGGACCAGCACTGTGTACTCTCCAGAGTCTGCTGCCATCAAGATATCCCTAGATACTCTAAGTAAGGCCGTTTCAGTGGAATGCAATTTACGAAAACCAGACTGGAAAGTGTCCACAACAGCATTTTTATCCAGGAAATAGTTAACTTGTTCTAGTACTACTTTTTCTAAAAATTTTCGATATAAAAGGCAATTTGGATATTGGCCTATAACTGTTAGGAAGACATGGATCCAGCTGAGGTTTCTTTAATATTGGCTCAACAATAGCTTGTTTAAAGAAGCTGGGGACTGAGCCAATATGAAGAGAAGTATTTATCATTTCCACAATACAGGGGCCAATTGAATTAAACACACTAGTGAAAAATGAAGATGGAAGGACATCAAGGGGGCTTGAAGTCTGTTTTATATGACAAAGCAGGCCTCTGATGTCTTGTAATGTAACAGGAGTAAAAGAGGACCAAGTATCAGAGGAGAGCAAGTTGAAAGTTTGATATTGAGAAGATGATGGAGAGATATTAGACCTGATGGCAATGACCTTATTTCTGAAATAGTTCATAAACTCATTGCATTCGGACGTTGAGTGAACTGGTGCACAAGGAGCATCAGGAGAAACAATACTCTTAATTGTTTTAAACAAGAATTTAGGATCTTTCTTTTTTGAAGCTATGAGGTGTGAAAAATACTCTGTTCTGGCATTTTTCCACATGTCATTTAGCAAGAGGATAGATTCTTTAAGGTGTAACTTATAACCCTCAAGCTTGGAAGCCTTCCACAAACGTTCTAGCTTGCGACAGTATCTCCTGAAATTACGAATGTTTTCATTTAACCAAGGATGAGATTTCAAACATAGGACAGTACTTTTTTTCAGAGGTGCCACTATGTCTAAAATAGAATTACACTGGTTATTAAAGGATGAGACAAGAGAGTCCAAATCATTGTAAGTCATTTCAGCGTCAAACATGGCAGAGAACCTTTTGCCGGCGTTCTGGTTTATGATTCGCCTTTCAATGATTATTTTGGAAGCCGGGGGATCTAAATAAAACGACAAGTTAAAATATATGCAGCTATGGTCACTCACATGGACATTTTCCACATGAATATCATTTATATTTAAACCCAAGGAGAAAACAAGGTCCATTGTGTGAACCTTTACATGTGTAGGGCCAGAAACACGCTGCATAAAATTAAAAGACTTTGTGATGGTCATGAAGTCAGCAGCCATATTACAGGATGCATCATCAATATGAAGGTTAAAATCTCCCAACATTACCACCTTCTCTAATTTAATAATGGATGATAAGAGGTCGTTAAATTCAGTTAAAAAGACTCTGGCAGGGCCAGGAGGTCGGTAGATTAAAATACAATAAAAGGTGTGCAAAGAGCCGACCTTGATCATCTGAAGTTCAAATGAGGTAAAAGAATCCGAGTTCATCAGTCTGCATGTGAATCTGTCCTGGTGCACAACAGCGA